GGAGCCGTTGCGAAAATGCACCAAACTCTTTTCTTCACACTTTTGAAAAACCATTGAACGCTTGAAGTCACTGGAATTTTAAATGGTCATTGCGGTTATCCAGTTTGCGAGTGTGCAGCTTACTGAGTCACGGAGATGTCGAACACAACGTTGCTAGGTCGTTCTGCATTGAACTAGATCTCTCCAGTTACTGCTTGTCACTTGCTCTGCCTAGTCGAGCCACTTCTTCGGAAGTCGCCGCGCGGGGTCCCTTTTTCCATCCAAGTAGCAATCACTGCGCAACGTAAAACAAATTGACTCTGATGTTAATTTGTTTCGCCTGTAGGAGGATATTATCCTGGCCATCTCCTGCTTGACGGGCTCTTGCATGTTCTGCACGGTGACAGAGAAATTCGAGGCTTATCTGCTGTTCGTTCTCTGTTTCCCCTTTCACCTTCAACCACCACATTGCGCTCCTGTGGATGGCCACTTCCAGTACAGTAAGGTTGAGAACAATTTCGGGTTGAAGAGCAAAACAAACTTTAATATTTCACAAGCCAAAACTAAAACCAGCTTTTTTAGGGCCACTGCGGAACGAGAAGCTGAAAAAGGAAGTTGGGAGGAAGACGGACCACCGTCCAACGGGAACTGCAGCGTCTCCATCATCTACGGCCTGTAGACAAAAATGTAAAATTATTTGATCTAAAAATTTTTATAAGCACAAAACATATGTCTTCCGTTCCCTGATTTTTCCTCGAATTCTTTTTTATTTTTGTCCAAATTTATGTATTAAGTTACCCCTTTTTTCCAGTTATGTTGCAAAATTCTGTTTGTACTGCTTCTTGTCTTTCCCACTACTCTTATTTTCCAAGCTTTATTTTTGTGCCCTTCAAATTTTATTTATTTTCGAATTTCTGTTCATCGTTTTTGTAATCCGTCCATCCTGTTTTCGTTCGTGGTTTCGAATTTTGTCCTTTTTTTTCAGGGCCGTCACATCAAGTTTTTTGTTACACCGGTTGTTGGTCCCCCTCAGTTTTTTAGCTCCTTTATCAATTTTCTCGTTAGCAGTGCAGA